GGGCCCCGCTCTTGCTAAAGCCGGCCCTGGCTGCGTGGGACTGGGACGCCTTAGCCAGTCCTTAGGGGAGGGAGTGAAAGTAGCGAAAGACCCCAGTGAAAGTGAGTCCGTGTGCTCTGGGGAATGCAGCGCTGTGGGGTGCCCACGTGGCTCTGGCAGCTGCAGGCACTTGGCTGCAGATGCCCCGGAGGAAGGGGGACACCCAAGCATGGCGGGAGATGGTGGCGAAAGACCTTACGGAATTTTGACCTTTATAAAACCCAAATCTGGGGTGACCTTGGTGATTTAGTGTCTCGTGCCAGACTGGCAGTGCAGGTGGGTGGCAAGCAGAGCATGGGCAGGCCATGGGCAACCCCTCATTGCCCCCCCCAGCTCTGCTAATGCACCTCAAGTCTCATGTGGGCCCCTCCCGCTACCCCCATCCTCCCCTTCATCCAGCTCTATTCTAGCCCTGCCCCGCTCCCTGCTGCAGATCCCGTCCAGAGCGCCCCACGCCCTCTGCCTTTGCCAACACACCTCTCTCCTCACCATATAACCACCCCCTGCCCGCCCTTCCACTACTCTAATCCCAGACTCTCCCAAGCCAGGACCCACAGGCCGGCAGGCAGGGAACTGCCCCAAGCAAACCTAAACCCCTCCTGTGAGATGGTGCGGAGAGCTTAGCCCTTTTCCCAGCATTAAAGCCTTTCCCGGCTATTAAAAATCCCCAGGTCCCAATCCGTTCTCAAGGGTGCTTAAAACATTCTTTAAAACCCCACTATAAAAGCTTCGATCCCTTCCCGCAGCAGCTGGGAATGAGCTAGTCCCACGCACAGCAGAGATGGCACCAAGCCGGGTGTCCAAATGGGCAGTGAGGGGACCACAGGGAAGAGTGAACAGACCAGTGCGGAATTAAGGCTCAGTCAGGTCAGGGGGTACCCAGAGTGAACAGATCCAGAAATTCCGCTTTTCCTTGGAGACGCCCGCAGGGATTTTCCCCAGGTGCCAGCTTCCTTCTCTCCACCCCCGGGGCAGAAGGGGGGGCATCCTGGCTCCGAACGAGGTGGGTCAGATGCAGAGGTCGACAATTGCCAGGCAGCATGCGGATTTGGTCAGGAGACCCAGCGATGGAGCTGCTGCCGGAGCCCCTTGCAAGGAGCCCCAGTGCAGTGCCGGGGCTCGGAAGCCGTCTTTGGGAGCGGGTCATTCACCAGCGGTGCTCCATGCACCCTGCTGGTGCTAGGCTGGGGTCGGCAGCACACAAGCCCTCTCCGTATTTCGGTACCGGCCAGCAGATCCCAGCTCTGCTGAACGACGAAGTGTGGAGAGGGGCCTGCAGCCGCTTGCAGAAGGAATGAGACCCCAGGCACCCAGGAGGTGCAGAGGCCAGCAGCAGGATGCAGGTGGCAGGATCCCTCTCGCACATCCAGGCTCTGGGGCTGCTGAACGGGCTGCGGGACAGACTGGAATGATCCCGTTGAGTCTCTCAGCTTGGGGTCCTCCCCGTGGCTGGCAAGGCCATGTCCCGAAGCACTGCCTGGCCACGCCCTGGTCAGCAGAAAGCCCTATGCATCATGGAAACCCAGTGTGGGGCTGGACGGGAACGACGCCCCCTAGCCGTGGAAGCGGGCAGTTCACAAAGCCCCAGCTGAGATGCCGTCACGCAGAGTCCTGGAAACTGGAGCACACGCAGGCCAGGCCGCTCCCAGCTCTTCGCAGCCAGGGAGAGGGGCTGGGGCCTGGGCTCGCCAGGGAGCCTGACAGTCACCCTGGCTCCGGCCTTTCCGGTGCCTAGGTCTGGCCATTCAGCAATCTTCTCCGGCTCCAGAGCTTCACTGTCAGGTCGCTGGGGAAGGAAGAGAGAGAGGAAGTGAGGCCAGGGGCTGCCCCCGCCCCAGCTGGGAGAGGCAGCACAGCGAGTACAATCAGCTACGGGCCAGGCCCTGCCCCCAACTCCCCCGTCCCCAAATGCATCACACTGCAGCCCAGGAGAGCAAGGCCGCTGTGCCCCAGGCGGGCGGGCACCGGCGCAAGCAGGGAGCAGATGCGCCCAGCTGCCTGCCAGCGGGATAATCCCCCAGAGCGCCAGTAACAGGGCACTCTGCCAGTAACGCAGGCTCAGCCAGTGGCACCTCACTGGCAGTGGCCAGTGACGCAGTGGAGGGTGGGGATGGGGCGGGGATCCCCCCAGCAGCGGCCCAGGAGGAGCAGTAGTCAGATGGGCAAACCCCATGCAGCACCGAGCTGGCCGCTGGATCCAATCACCTGGGGGACGGGGCGGGGGGGGGCAAGAGGACAGTCTCCTCTTGCAAAGAGCTCTACATGGGGGGAAAATCCAAAAGAATCTCATACCGTTAAGAAGCAGCTGAGACCAGAGCGGAGAGAGAAGAGACAGAGAGAGCAAAGGAGAGAGAGCCAGAGGGGGTGAGAGCCAGAGAGAGCAGGAGGAGGGTCAAGGCAGGCTAGTGGCACGCCCCTTTATGGCAAGGACGCGGTGAGGAAGGCAGGGGGTGAGCCCAGGCACGTAAGTCCATAGCTTTACCTGGCAGTCACTGCGGCAGAGAGAAACAGAGGGGGGAGGGGGGGGGAGAGAAAGGAAAGGAGAAAAGGGACATGGTCGGAAAAGAGGAGATCAGAGACGGTGCCAGAGACATTGTGAACCCGGGGACCCCCTCTGGGGGCCAGGGCTGTGCACAGGGGCTGGGGAGCAGAAGGAGGGGGCGGTGGTGCTCTCACTGGAGATGCACAAGGCACCGTCGAGGAGGAGCTGGTGCCTGGCTGGCAGGAAGTCCGTTTTCTGCGCTGAGGGTAGCAGGGCCAGCAGCACCAGGTCTGGCTAGTCCCGGCACATCAAAGGAGCTGGCAAGAGCATCCCAAAAGCATGGCGGGGCAGGGCAGGACCAGCGCTTGGCATAACTGGATGGGGCAGAAGAGCCTCACTGTGGGGCGACCTAACAATGGCTGAGAGATGGAGGAGACGAGAGGCTAGATGGGGAGGGGTTGGGGGCCCTGCAGCCGACTGCTGCCCCACACCAAACCGCCTGCAGCCCGGCTCCGGCGTTGTTCCCATCCCTCACTCCCAGCACCATTCCAGGCCCTGCCACATGCGGGGAGCAACAGTGGGTTTGGAGAGCTCCTGCAGCTCTGCTGCACTGGGGTGAGTTGGGGGTCAGATCTCCCTCCCCCATGCCGCAGGGGCCTAGCCTTACCCACTGCCCTCACCTGGAAGCAGTGAATATGTGCTTGGAATTGGTGCAGATGGCATTGATGGGGCTGTCGTGGCCCTTGATCTCCTCAACGGGTGTGAAGTTCTCCATGTTCCAGACCTTCACCACGCCCCCGCGGCAGGCGCTCAGCAGCATGGGGCGGCCGAGGACGAAGGCCAGGGCGCAGACCCAGTCCTTGTGCGCGTTGGGGATTTGCTGGCAGGCACAGAGACAAGGCAG